AGAGAGAGAGAGAGAGAGAGAGAGAGAGAGAGAGAGAGAGAGAGAGAGAGAGAGAGAGAGAGAGAGAGAGAGAGAGAGAGAGAGAGAGAGAGAGAGAGAGAGAGAGAGAGAGAGAGAGAGAGAGAGAGCTGCAGCGAATATTGCTCGTTTCGTGTGCTGTTCACTAATAACCTGACAAAACCTCGTACGTTTTTGAGAAGAGTACAAAGGAATTAGTCATACACTTAATAATAAATGTCGGAGCGACACAAAGTCTCTCGTGGCAAGCAGAAATATACAAATTATCCTGCTAAAGTAGGGGTGTCAGTAGGAAAGTCACAAATATTCTGTCAAAAATGTGTTGCATTTTATTTTATTAGACCTTGCGTCCTAGCGAGAAGTGAATCAAACTTCAAACTGCTAATTAATTTGTTGCATTGTAGCAATGCAAAGCAATCTAGAGTGGGTATAACAGAAAAATATTTCAGCATAAACCCTCGAATCAAATCAAATCAAGAATAATAAAATAAACATCATCACCACTTCTTAAAACAGTCGTCCTAATTTCGACATTTTCAGAGCTGTGAACATTTCACAGCCTACATCATTAAAAACAAAAATGTCGACACAATGTATTTACCTCTTCATTCGATTCTATTTATTTGTTTTAGTTCGTTTAATACGAGGGTAATAATCAGCTTGTGTCAATATGAGCAAATGAACTATTTATGCACCACACAGTAAGATATAGATCAACAAAAAGCAGTTTCGCCCTTACAACAACAAGGGACAACAAAGTCACCGGCTACAAACAAGAAGGAAGTTAAATCTAGGTAACTAGACAAAGCAAGAAACAAAGAAGGAAGTTGAATCTATAGATAATTACTCTATTATAGCTATTTAAACTTAATTTAGGTAAATTTCGTCACATACAAAACTCTGTTAGAGTGAAACTGACACTGTGGTGTAACATTTTACCGATATTTCACCGATATTTCACCGATATTTCACCGATATTTCACCGATATTGCAATTTGCACAGTAAAATATTTGTGTGAGATACCTACTTTGTCACGCATTCAGGTTTGAATAAATTTGACGTGATACTCGATGGCAAGGATCAATAATCCATATTCCATGTGTTCTGTGATTTAGTTGCTAGGAGACAAGAATGTAGAAAAATAGAATCAAGAAATTATCATTTATCAAAAGACTAGAAAACGCCAAAAAAAGGAACGTATCAAGTTAAACGTATCAAGTTAATAATAACTTTGGAAAGTTAATAAGGTAATTGTAAAACTCTATGAATAGGTCTGTTGCCTCGGATAATGATACTCCTTCTCACTCCATGACACCATCCGTCATATAAAGCTTATACAAATAATGGTGCAAATTCAAACTTTTTGGAACACCACTGTAAACTTTTGAATAATACATAATATGATACTCCGAAACGGAAAACAACTTTGCTGAACCGGCACGCTAGGAACGCAGCGAAAATGTGATGACGAAATACGATAAAGGCTCTACATAATTGTATATAAGTACTCCCGTGTGTTATTTTGAAAAAGTATTTTAATTAAATCCAGTTAACGGCCGAAACTCTACACCCTAGTACAGCACAGCTTATTATGGTTTAGTGGTGTCATTTTACGAACAGGGTACCTAGCACCCCTTGACCCCCTTAACTCTCCTGACCCTCCTGACCCTCCTGACCCTCCTGACCCTCCTGACCCTCCTGACCCTCCTGACCCTCCTGACCCTCCTGACCCTCCTGACCCTCCTGACTCTTAACCCCCTGAAAAAAGTTGGGATAAGATTAAGTTCACTGGACGTACAACACGAGATAATTAATACCAAATAGACAGTACTAACTTAAATAATTAAATGACATAACCTTCCTTCGGAAATGAACCGGCTCAGGTCATCAACGAAACATTTTCACAATACAAGATTTTAAAAAAATGACAACACAATTAAAACAATAACTGTTAACTAAACTCCTCCTTAATACACACTACACTATGACCGCATTGAACACAGACAGCTGTGGGATGTAGGATGTATAGTTCTGTCTGTATTGTTCAGGTCAGTGGGTGGAGACCTTTATCTCTTTATTATTAGTACAGAGAGTCCCTCTAGAAGAGTGTAGTTGTTCTGGAGAACAAAGGTTTAATATTTACAGTTTACTGAACTATGAGCTAGTATTATAATAGGTTACTATCTGAGTATATAAAGTAGACAAATGATAAAGTTAACTCGTAAATAAAATTAAGACCAGACGTATGTTTCGCTGGTGTTGGATCGGGAAATTCCGTCAAGGGCAGTGGTATAGGTACTAACCTTATCGGACTTAATTTGAACGGACATTATGTGGACGCTGGAGGTCCTTGCATTCAAATAAAGTCTACCTGTTTACAAGTCAAAGTCCGTTCAAGTTTGTTCCATAAATATTCCACTTCAAATTCATTATCCAGGTTATCATTAATTTTTCATTTCGGTAAATCTCAATTTCTATCGGACTTTATAATATATCATTGGATCAGGGTACATTGGAGATGTCTCATACAAGGAGTAAGTAGTAACTGTGCTGTTCAGGCCACTCCAACGACTAGAAAGGCACATTTTCAAGTAAGTAAGTAAGTAAGATCAATAGAGAGACGTTTTAAGTTTTGATAAAAATGTTGAATAAATAGCAAGTTTTGACTAAATCATATTATAGCATAACTTTCTTCGGCTTCTTCGTACATTTCTTTTGGGTTACTATAAAATCGCCAAAAAGCGTTCATATTAATGTCTGTTCAGAATTATGACCGATCACGAAACGTCCAATTCTTGTCAAATTTTCAAAATTTGAAGGGAATCTGATCACGATCACAACACTACCATTTCTCTAAAAATTACTATATATTACTATATTCTTATATTGAACAACATTCATGAGTTCTACAAAACGTCAAGCCAAACCCTGTTTGATAATCTATAATGGCCTCGTTACACTAATCCAAGTGTCTGTTGCGTCTGTTGCTACTGAATTGGTTTTAGCTCGATCGAGGAAGGAAATATTTATGCTGGAGTTAGTACTCACTAAGTATTAACTATTAACTAGTACCTTGACCAAAAGTGAAACCTGGCAGATTCCCGGATTGCTTACCAAGACTGGCCCTCCCGCTTCTAGATCCACTATCAAGTGAGTGTTTATTTCCCACAACCTAGTAGTAGTGAATTTGCAACTGCAAGACGCACATATTGACGTTTGTTGATACGGCAGTATTGCACATTTTTTCACAGTGCTAAAATGCAAAACTTAAAGTTTAACATTGTATACACGCTCATTACGTGTTGTGCATTAACCCCCCTCATTGAAACGGGTCAAATTGTACTTGACACTATCAAGAAAATTAAGCGAAGCCTTTAGAAAATCAACAATAAGTTAAACACAGGTCATCGATATAACTTATTGATATTTGCTCTAATCTAGGGTGCAAATGAAACGAGATATCGTTTATTTGAAACAGAGGTCACGACTTCAATCTTCATATTTCAGATGACGCTCAAAACATTGTGATTTACTCCATCATAGAATCCGATTATTATCTATTTTGTTTAGTAATTGCTTACACTTGGCTTTAAACTCGAATATACTTTTGGCACGTACTTTTATTGAGCACATTTGCAGACACCCGAGCTGCTGTTACTTCGTATAACTTTCATTCACAATTAATTACACCTGCCAATGTGCACATTCCTCTGTGGTAATGTGGTATGTCCGCGGTTGTTTTTTTATTCGATCCCGTTACCATTGTGATAGAATATGTTGCGTTATTTGAGAAAACGCTGGCAATTATGTATAATTTTCTTTACATCTCTAGATGAACTCAGTACCTTTATACATAATGTTACATATAAAGGACGTAAAGCACTGCGAGGCAAAATAAGCGACACAGACTGAGGCTAACATTTTCAAGAAGGTGCAACTTTCTGATCGCAACACTTTGTATGATTTGTATAACTGATGATGTGTTGGAAAGCTGCACAAACATTATTACATGAGATTAGTTTAAGAATTGTTACTATATGAACGAATAAGTCACTTTGTTAAAGTCCTGTGCAAAACTATATATATTTGTTTGTGAAGTATGTGAGAGATAAGCATTATTTTATGCGCTACAATGCCCAGTAAATGTAATGCATCGCTGTACATACAACTTTTGAAGTTAGTCATTAAACTGCCCCTCATCACATCGAGACCGATGAAAATGAAATGGATATAATTAGTTATAGGTAAGTTGGTGCACAATAGTGGTGGTATGACTATGTTATCAAATCTCACCTTAGTAACCCTAAAGCACTTAGTTGCTAATGGTTATATTGGTCATCAACTGTCATGATGCGATGAGGGACGTCTCATGACTACAACTCCGAAAACACAAAGAGGTGAAACTCATAACAATATGAATTAAGAGTTTACCGGTACAAAACAAACGCCTATTAAACTTTGAAGGAGAGCCAAGTTTGAGCTAGAATATGAAACAATTGCCCTTACGCACGTGAAATGTTTATCTGATGAGGGCGGTAGTAAACTGTCCACAGCTTTACTCAATACTAACACCATATCATTTAAAATTTACTAAACTTATTTTTATTTAGTTACGTTTTTAGTACGTTTTTGGTACGTCTTAAGACCCTGCAGCTAAACGTAACTCGTCACGTAATCGATTACGAGATGCATTGCGTGCCTTCTAGCTAGGACCAAAGACACCATCACGTACTACATGACAGTGACGTGATACTGATACGAGACGCGTCTCGTATCAGTATCACGTCACGCAGTAGCTTTTATCCTAGCTAAACGGAACGTAACGTGTTACGGGATCGAAACTCAAACATTGCTAAACTTGTCGATACAATAACAAGTTGAGTTTTAAAGATTTAATCGCATTTCGTCGATTGCCATTATAACGGTCGCAAAAATGGAAGAAACACACCCAATTAATTTTTATGATAACATCGTTGTCATGGCAATTTAAAAATAGCCATAATGCATAATTTGCACGTGAAATTATTGATCATGTTTTTACGTTATTGGGTACTGCACAGATCTGTTACATTTCTTTCTTAACGACATTCTTCGTCGAGTTTCGAACGGATCGTCGAACGGATCGTCTTTCGGACCATTGTAAATATCATTTTAATTATGCTTAGTTGTATTAATCTACTAATAGATACATTTAATTTGAAATGGTACTATACTACTCTAGTTTTTTACTATTTCGTATCCACCAAAACTGAGAGGTCTTCATTATTTTGTGTAGTAGGTAGTTATTTATAGCTTTTCAGTATGATGCTTTCAAACGTTAATTCAATTAAAGCCAACACTGCATCACAAGGTTGCGATGTTTAGCCAATTTTATTCAATTCATTAACTTCACAAAGGCTTAATGAAAAAAAAATAGTATTAGTAGTTTAGTTCTTATTCTTGAATTTGTGTGAGTGTGAAAGAAGATTGTCTGCATTAATAATAGTATTACACATTGCTCAGCTGTTGTTCGATGCATTTTAACACTTATATGCTTTTAGCTTTTCTAATGCAACAACTAGCCTTCTTTAATTCGGTATATTTTCCTATTTCTGGACGATCTTGCGATCTCTTTGTAAGTTTGCTAACGATTTATTCAAAAATTGTAATACTTTTCCTCAGAAAACGTGGCCGAACAATTTTATGGTTTATGTAAGACCTGAATAAAAGATTACGATAGCTACTCACCGCGAGCGCTGGCATGATTTTCCGACGTTCATCTCTACACATGAAAATTTTCGTTCTGATAATTTCAAGTCTGATTGTTGTTGGAAGCAGCGATAATGCGACGACAGACAACGATGACGATTTAACTCAGGTTTGTAATGAATGTTGTTCTAATACTGTAAAAAAGTAGTATGTTTTTTAATAGTGAGGCAGTCAAGGTGTCAGAATTCAAAGTAATACGTATTAATGTTAGAAAATTCAGGTTATCTCACTAGAAAGGGCTACCGGTTCTTGTAAAGACCAAAGGCACGGCAACATGGATTACGAATGTCTGAAGTATATGTGGAAATTTTACCATATCCTTCGAGATGGATGGATGCCCTGTAACAATTACAAACAAAATAGTGGAAGAAGGAATTTTCGAAAGTCAGGTAAGAATTCAAAACCAAAAACTTAATCTGCTATGGAAATTTTCCATGCTACTTGCCAAACAAATGTTTCAAAGGTTAATAATAATAGTAACGGTTTTGTTAAACGAAATGTTTCATTCAAATATTTTCAGATTGTCCCGTACTCAGTCGAAAGTGCAACACGAGAAATAGAACAGAGAATCAGAAGAATGCGTTTTGTTGTAAATCGGTTTTATGTTACGCTACAAAAATGAACCGCATATTATACGAACGTCGTTAATGTTCCGAATCAAGCAGCGAATTGCAAAATCACTTCTGGATAGTGGATATGATTTTAATGAAACAAAAACCAGCTGATTCATTTGATTTGCTCTTATCGGTTTAGTTTACACTTTATTGATGATAAATGATAATTCATTGTACGGTTATATTTTACAATTTAGATTTCATGATTGTCGACTTTTTGAGACCTACTATTTAAAGCTAAAGTAAATTCATCGACTATTCATACCATCACTTGAATATCTTAATACGTTCATGATAATCAGCTATAAAGTATAAAATTAAATAGATTTTAGATAGGTCTTCGGTTCAAATTGGTGGTCAAAAGTCCCGAAATGAAATGTCGAGGGTAAATCTATAAAATCGTGCACTCGAGTTCTCGCCACGTTTTTCATAGTTCATATCCAGTATCCACTGCCGTTAAAATATTAGCAAATAACGAGCTATTAATATGTCTAAACTGAATCTAGTGAATACTGTTTTTGTATAATTCCAACATCTGTCGAATCTACAGCATCACGTTGCTCATGGTTATTGATATTGCATAGTGGCATGCTGACTTGATCATCTAAAGAAATCTCTTGAACCCTTGGCAGAATAACCCGATTGTCTATATCGTTAGTTGTGCGAGTCCTTTTTAACTGGAATCTCTGGTTTGTCATCAGTGCTGACTCACTCACTCGTCTTCTAATACTGCTAACTTTCCTCACTGCGTGTACCATCTGCTGAGAGTACCCTGAGACAATGGTCTTTCTGATGTTCTTCACGGCAAATATGTAAATGATACAGTTTAGCACTGGCGAGGAGTTGCTGAGGATGAAACAGATGAACTCCACGCTGTTCGGTAGACGGGTGTGAACTTGCTGATTCCTCTCCATCTGTTGGAGTTGAATTAATTACTTTAATAGAACACCACTAATTTAAACGAAATGAAATAAAACCAGAGAAACAATTCTCATATTCAAGGTTTGCTACAGGACCCTCCACATTAGCAGTAAACAAATTTATGGAAGATCAATAAGTTATAAAAAACTTACCTGAGTGTGATTGATTATCTTCATTGCAACTTGAGGTAGCCAAGTTATTGAAAAGGCACCCGCAACCATCATCCCAATCTGATAGGTAATTCAGATTATTAGATTACTAGTCGCAATTAATAAAACATTTGAATCGATATTGAATATAAGCGAATGTTTCTAACTAACCTTGAGCAATTTGAAAGATGATTCTGCTAATTTGACTCTTCCCCTTATCTTGCAAAACATGGCAGTGTAACCAATTATGTGAAAAAACAGGGTAGGAATTCCCAATCCGAGGTAGATAGACAACGTTACCCACGCCTGAATATAGTGTATATTTTGCATCGAAAAATATAAATAAAGTTGGTGCTGATAAAATATTTCGCTTCGAAAAAAGATGATACTATATAAATTCCAGACTTATATAATAACTAGAAACATGTCTCTAACAGTGACAGTGAAATAAGGGTAAAATCAGAATTTCGTTGTTAGGTTAAACAGAAGAATTACTGAGCATGTGAGCAGGGAGAAGAAATAAAAAGACTGAACAACCAAAATCCAGCAGACTAATAATACAAGAAATTTCAGAAAGATTCGGCTTCACCAACCGAGAAGTGATGGTGTTGGAAGGTGCACTGAAGAGTGTGCTGAGAAAGGAATATTCTATTGTCAGTGAAGAGTGTAGCTAGAGCTGTAGCCCCCACGTGTATTCCTGTCGCTACCCAACTCAGGGATATTGTACCTGGGTTTTAGAGGAAAACAGTACACAGTTATTTCAGTTACACCTTACAAGAAGCTTATAATTAAGAATATCAATGTTTTTCAGAGCTATTACTTTTTACATGAGAGCTTGATTTGCTCAAATATGACGAGAAATGGCAGAGAAACTGGGAGTATGCCATACCGTATATTGGAGATAACCTACCTGAGAAGAATCTATTGGTTGAATATCGTTTGTAGGAATGAGGTTTGCTAACTGCCAGGATCCTATCGAGTGTAATTGGAACTGTGGACAGGAATATAAGGTCCCTTGTTAGGATCTGAAAATATTCCTCTTTAGTAAACCTACTGATCTATTAACTAAAACCTACAAGCACAGTGATAGGGTTAACTGTAACTTTGTTAATAATCGCTTATCGTGAGGCGACACAGTTTCAATCTTTGTGATTTATACAATTGTACAACTTACGAGTAGTCATCAGTTATTAGTTCTAAGGTTTCTTACCCAAAAGTAGAGGACGGCAATACAAGGAGGAAAATCAACCAGCTCCGACTCAAGACTTATTATTAGCTCATTATCTGAGCGAATACTTTATTAATTAACTAATTATTAATTTCTACCATTACACTGGTAGCTAAAACTTTAAAACATTACGTTTCTCATATGGAAATCTAAATAGCATGAACTACAAATATGCAAGCAAGTAATTAAATAAGTCAACAGTAAGCTATTAGTACTAACTTGGGTGTTTACTGTAGTGGAATACAAGGGTGACTGCTCTGGACGTGACCTGATATAGACCAGCACAGAAACAAGCTACCACCATGTTAAAGTACAGTTTTATCTGATTTTTAAACTTCCTCCTAAAGAGAAATCATTTGTTAGAATCAATAAAACCTTTGCAATTTGCATTTTGCTATGCATCGAATTAATATCGTATACGGCAGGATTTTCTATCGCTATTTGATTAAAAATTTATCAGGAAAAAGCACATTAAATTCGATGGATAACGCTGATTTTGTTACCTGAAACAAACAATGCTGAGAATGACAAAAGTGGACACAACCAAGTTGATAGAACCCTCAGCGAATGCTAGTATCGTCTGTATTCGGGCTCCTTGGTCTGAAATTACACAACAAATGAATATTATACGATTCAGTCGAACAGGACAAATGACAATATAACTGTCCTTAGTCAGTAGTCAGGTTTCAAAGTGTTTTTGTGAGACCTGACGTTGATTCTGTGCCTCCCTGTACAAATTTTGTGGGTCATGTTTACGCGGCACTCCTGCAACCTACTCACCACCAAAACGCGGCACTCCTGCAACCTACTCACCACCAAAACACGGCACTCCTGCAACCTACTCACCACCAAAAGAATGTTCCGAAGGGCTAACAGTCATGACAAAACTTCCAGAGTTTGAAACATAGGAGTTAGATTTCTCTGTAACCATGATCAGTTCTTGATGAACAGCAACCAGTGCGACAGAAGCTAAATAAAATTACATATCAGCGGTGAACACCAAATGGCTCTACAATCCTATACGTTATAAAGCTTCTAGTGGAACTCGCAAGCGGTAGTTGCAAGTAATAGTCAAAAAATTGCATGACTTGAGGTGTATATATCGGATGCTAATTGATAATATCCTAGGCCCTAGCTTACATATGGAGAAGCATCTGTGAACTTCCGGCATAAATCTACTATTGTTCATAACATTTAACATTATCCATATTTGACCAAAACCCATAATCATGGGTAGAGTGTACCGCTGCCAGTGTCTCTCTTTTCCAAACAAAAGGAAATGATATTAATTTGAGGAACAGTCCGCTTATGCAAATTGATACCGAGAATGAAATCGGTCGCTCGCTTTTTCAAATCAATAAGCTTTATTACAATTCGTGAGCCGTGATCGAATGGAAAAAGCGAGCGACCGATTTCATTCTCGGTATCAATTTGCATTAGCGGACTGTTCCTCAAATTAATATCATTTCCTTTTGTTTGGAAAAGAGAGACACTGGCAGCGGTACATTCTACCCATGATTATGGGTTTTGGTCAAATATCATCTCTTTTTGATTATAATGTCAGGATAATTTACACAGCTAGTCGAAACTTCATTAACAAGGAGGTAATTTCGACGATTTCGAAATTCTGCCTTTGAAAACGTTTCCTTGTGTTTAGTTAGGTATATCTGTCGATAACCGACTGAATATGGCACTTTTTACTCATTCAAGTTGGCATTAAATTCATATATAATGCCATTTAAATATCGTGGAAAGCAGAATATATTCGAAATCACGAATGAGCAAAATTCTCACCTTTCGCACGTGCAAACTTTGAGCGGACGTTGCGTGCGCATACAATATTGAATCACCGTAAATTTTTGCATAGTGGTATTTAATATATAGTTTGATAAGCATGCAAAGTTTCAGACGATTTCAAAAAGAACTTGGATCACAACGGGACTCCAAAGTTGATAAAAATCGTGAAAATCAAAATTTTTAGTGATTTTAGCTATTTTAAATCAATTTGGGCGTGTCCCCACGTGTGCAACTTTTCGATTTTTAACTTTAAAACTAGCCTATAACACAATTTACACCTTTAAGAAGCAAAATTGAGCTCCACAACCCAAGGGATAGCCCAACACCAGAGAATACTAATTCACAACTTTTGTGTTTTTATAAAATTATTCTTCAAAAAAGCACTAACTTCAATAGCAAATATCTTTATGAAGGAGTAAGGTAGGAAACTTTTCCGGTAAATTTTTAGAATGCTTGAACAATTATCTAAGGTGAAAATGTCCTCAGATTTTGAATAAAATTACTCTTTAATGGTGTAAAATCGATTTGAAAAGTTGTTGTTTTGTCAAAAATCAAGTTTTAAAAACACTTAAATTGATGACGTCATCAAGTGATGATGATGATGATAAATTATTTTTCAATGTAAAGTAAAGTAATTTATTTTTAATTGTAGTTGACGAAATGAGAGTCTCCACTCAGTGTTTTAAAACATAATTCTTTGTCGACGTTTCGGCTACATGCCTTTGTCATAAACAGGACGTACTGAAAACTTACATAGCTGCAAAGATACAATGTTAAAATAATCTATTAAAATAATCTATTAATACTACGAAATATAACAACAACAAATAACATCTTGAAACACAACAACAATCACAAATTTATCCAAAAGAAACATAAAATATAACGGCTAAAAGAATTCAAACCGCAACAAGCCGTGAACAATTCTTCATAATACTACAAACATTTTACCAAGATAGCTCCTTCATAAAACTGATTAATCAAAAATTATCTAGGTTTATAAGTTCAATATTACATTAACTTCCAAGTATATTCTATCCAATCACCTTCATTTACGGACTCGGACAATTGAGTATTTATTTCTGGGTTTTCACGTTTTATTAGAACCGACTGCCACAATTGACGGTCCACATAGTCTTTACATCTTTTTCGAACTATAAACCGAAACGGTATGTTTGGCATTGAAATGTCTGCATGCTCCTCTAGGTAGTGCTTCCCCATGGCCGTAGATTTGTTGCCATCCCTTACTGATTTGTAGTGTTCCCAGGCTCTACTTCTTTTAAACCTACCAGTTTCCCCAATGTAGGACTTATTACATATTTGGCATATTAATTGGTAGCAAATGTTTTTGATCATGCAGGATTTATCGCACTGGTAGCATTTGCTGTCACTTTGTTTATTGCATTTTGTTTGCTGTAGGCTAGATCTTGTTAAAGCTTCCATGAGACGTTGACCTGATGTGAATGTTACCCTGGTGGAATCCAAGAGGTTTTGATTTCTTAGGGTATAGTAGACTTTTCGACACGTCTGTTCATTTATATAAGGTAATGATAAGTAAGCTATTTTTGAGTTCTTTTTAGGCGCATTTTGTTTATCCAGTGTATTCTGTGTTTCTCGAATAAGTTTCTTGACAATATTAGGAGGGAAACTATTCTTCTTTAGCATATCAGCTATACACTGTATAAACAAAATGCGCCTAAAAAGAACTCAAAAATAGCTTACTTATCATTACCTTATATAAATGAACAGACGTGTCGAAAAGTCTACTATACCCTAAGAAATCAAAACCTCTTGGATTCCACCAGGGTAACATTCACATCAGGTCAACGTCTCATGGAAGCTTTAACAAGATCTAGCCTACAGCAAACAAAATGCAATAAACAAAGTGACAGCAAATGCTACCAGTGCGATAAATCCTGCATGATCAAAAACATTTGCTACCAATTAATATGCCAAATATGTAATAAGTCCTACATTGGGGAAACTGGTAGGTTTAAAAGAAGTAGAGCCTGGGAACACTACAAATCAGTAAGGGATGGCAACAAATCTACGGCCATGGGGAAGCACTACCTAGAGGAGCATGCAGACATTTCAATGCCAAACATACCGTTTCGGTTTATAGTTCGAAAAAGATGTAAAGACTATGTGGACCGTCAATTGTGGCAGTCGGTTCTAATAAAACGTGAAAACCCAGAAATAAATACTCAATTGTCCGAGTCCGTAAATGAAGGTGATTGGATAAAATATACTTGGAAGTTAATGTAATATTGAACTTATAAACCTAGATAATTTTTGATTAATCAGTTTTATGAAGGAGCTATCTTGGTAAAATGTTTGTAGTATTATGAAGAATTGTTCACGGCTTGTTGCGGTTTGAATTCTTTTAGCCGTTATATTTTATGTTTCTTTTGGATAAATTTGTGATTGTTGTTGTGTTTCAAGATGTTATTTGTTGTTGTTATATTTCGTAGTATTAATAGATTATTTTAATAGATTATTTTAACATTGTATCTTTGCAGCTATGTAAGTTTTCAGTACGTCCTGTTTATGACAAAGGCATGTAGCCGAAACGTCGACAAAGAATTATGTTTTAAAACACTGAGTGGAGACTCTCATTTCGTCAACTACAATTAAAAATAAATGATTGACCCACTCATAAGAGCAAAACAAGATTACCAGTAAAGTAAAGTAAAGTATAAACGATTATCTTTAAAACTTGTGGTTCGAAATGACTGTATCTTTTATACTATTGAATCTACGGACACTTAAATGTAGGCTACAATTGACTGCAAAAAGCGTCTATACATATATATCTTCACGACAATCTGTTGTAAAACAGGGGTTCCAGAAAACCCACTTCCCGATACTCCTGAAACATGAAATTTTTTTTACTGTCGACTTGGACAAGGTCTAGACGCCCTGCAAAGTTTCAGATCTCTAACTCAATTTTAACATGGTTTTTAAGGCACCTGAATATGGCGATTTTGGGTTTTTTTACCTAATTTCGTATAACATGCTGGCGCGTATTTTGCGCAAATTTCTTAAAAACCTCCATATAACTATTTCTTATTCCTGTCATCTTTAACATTGAATTAGAATGTTTTGAACTTAAATGAACCTGCTGAACTACTTTCGAAAAAGTCTTAATGCCTGGAAAACAATAAAGGGGATATAATAGTATAGGGGGTAAATAGTATTGTGAATATAAGGGCGACGGTAATGCTTGCCAGCATTGTGATTAACGACAAGAGAAACGCCATTGTTGGACGTGAGGAGAGTGAGGACTCCTCAAACTACATTAAATTAATTCCTTCTGTAACGTCCTGAATATATTTATTGCTCGATTATCATAAGTTGTGGTAATTAATTCAAGTAAAATGTGTCGACTCTTCACCCCAGTGAGTAAGTTAGGAAAGTATACAGAGTATACAGGAGAACTTATCACTATCAGAGTCTACCAAATCGGTAGCAAAGTCACTAAAAATAATATGAGAATAAAATATGCTGCATTAGATTCTGTAGATGGATTAAACAGGATTAAACAGGATTAAACATGAAATTACCAGAGAGAACACTAACGGACTCGTCTTGGCTATACAAGGATGAATAAATCAATAAATAAAATTATTAAAACTGAATCAATTAAAAATTATTAAAATTTAACCGTTTACAATTTCACGAAAATAAAAGAAGATCGTCTATAATAATTTAAGGTAATACAGTAAATAAAGTTCGAGTACGAGGATTAGGACTCATTTTTTAGGATTTCGAAGGTTTGAAGAGTCTGTTAGGTATTTCCCGAATTCTTTTGTGTGACAAGAGTTCATTATGGTCCTATACTCTTTTAGCATTACAAGGCTTTTCAGGTTATCAGAAAGCTTTGAGCGGAGGGAGTGGTATCCAGGGCATTCAGTTATGACATGATCCTCAGTTTCTAGGATAGGTGTTTCAAAGAAAGGTAGCTCTTCGAAAAAGCGAATGAGATGTGTCACCTCAACTGATTTAAACCCTGAAGTAATTTAATGAGCGGTGAGAACTTACATTTCTAGAATCATTAACGGATTAGCACAGTTATTAAACGTTTATTATAATGCACTATTGCCTTAGGTAACCTAAAGCTCCCTACCCTGTTAAAAATCAGTCGCCTCTGAGAGGCTAGTCACTTGCCTCTGTTACCTGGGGACCTCAGGCTATTATGTTCATAAACAATAGAGATTAGAATAGAGATTAGGCGGAATGACAGGCTGAGCGCGGCCCAGTAAGGGTAGTAGTAGCGCCTCAGTCATTCCGCCTAATCTCTATTCTAATCTCTATTGTTTATGAACATAATAGCCTGAGGTCCCCAGGTAACAGAGGCAAGTGACTAGCCTCTCAGAGGCGACTGATTTTTTCCTTTTCACCCTTTTGTAAAAAGGCAATAGTGCATTATAATAAACGTTTAATAACTGTGCTAATCCGTTAATGATTCTAGAAATGTAAGTTCTCACCGCTCATTAAATTACTTCAGGGTTTAAATCAGTTGAGGTGACACATCTACAGAATCTAATGCAGCATATTTTATTCTCATATTATTTTTAGTGACTTTGCTACCGATTTGGTAGACTCTGATAGTGATAAGCTCTCCTGTATACTCTGTATACTTTCCTAACTTACTCACTGGGGTGAAGAGTCGACACATTTTACTTGAATTAATTACCACAACTTATGATAATCGAGCAATAAATATATTCAGGACGTTACAGAAGGAATTAATTTAATGTAGTTCGAGGAGTCCTCACTCTCCTCACGTCCAACAATGGCGTTTCTCTTGTCGTTAATATGGATAATGTTAAATGTTATGAACAATAGTAGATTTATGCCGGAAGTTCACAGATGCTTCTCCATATGTAAGCTAGGGCCTAGGATATTATGAACATAATAGCCTGAGGTCCCCAGGTAACTACTACCCTCTCAGAGGCTGTGGACTAGCCTCTGAGAGGCTAGTCACTTGCCTCTGAGGCGCTACTACTACTCTCTCAGAGGCTGTCGACTAGCCTCTGAGAGGCTAGTCACTTGCCTCTGAGGCGCTACTACTACCCTCTCAGAGGCTGTGGACTAGCCTCTGAGAGGCTAGTCACTTGCCTCTGAGGCGCTACTACTACCCTCTCAGAGGCTGTGGACTAGCCTCTGAGAGGCTAGTCACTTGCCTCTGAGGCGCTACTACTACCCTCTCAGAGGCTGTGGACTAGCCTCTGAGAGGCTAGTCACTTGCCTCTGAGGCGCTACTACTACCCTCTCAGAGGCTGTGGACTAGCCTCTGAGAGGCTAGTCACTTGCCTCTGAGGCGCTACTACTACCCTCTCAGAGGCTGTCGATTAGCCTCTGAGAGGCTAGTCACTTGCCTCTGAGGCGCTACTACTACCCTCTCAGAGGCTGTTGACTAGCCTCTCAGAGGCTACTTACGTACGCACCGATTTGCGCGCTTGTGGAATTGTCAATAAATCCGCTTGTTGATTTTGCGCGAAGAGTATAACTGTCGTATTATACCTGTACAGCTTCAAGATTACACATTTACAGATTTAAATTATAATTGTACCGGAGAAGTATGGAGAGAGAGATTCACTGAAGCATTACATTACAACTGTGCATAACATGATGAAATCTGAAGAATACAACGACAATACATGAAGCTACATAAAGCAGTAACGATAAAGTGTAGAGGTAGAGATTAGAAAAATCTCTTAGCTAAGAATTAGATCCAATGAGATAACAAAGTACAATGTTATTTGAGAAGTTGAGTATAGGAATAGCAGTACAACACTTTAGTACATTGCTTAAATGATAATATTAATAAATTGAATAATCAAATAATTAATATATATCATTACACTTTTGAGGATTATGGCATTTCCTCTTTGCTAAAACTTTAGCACACGGCGGTTCAGAAGTAACTGCGATCTCTTAAGTCGTTATTGAAGCCTCTAAATGTAGTAAAAGAGGCAGATAACATAATGTGTCCGTTTTTATTTTAAATTTTCCGACCTATACCTCTATACAATATACATTGTACATTGTACATATAATATACATTGCAAGGCTTATGCTTTTCCGGTCCTAACAGTAACACTTTACTAACAATATAATCAGCAACATTCAGATGATGTGAATTTTTGAAGCAAGCTCACCTCGGACAGATTTAAAATACTTATAATTTAGATTTCAGGACTTCTTTGACAAAGTGTCTGCTGATATATTAGCGACGAGAGAAACGCCATTGTTAGTCGGCACAAAACACGCTACTTACTATGCTGAATCTCGGATAAGGGTTGAGAACCTTCTCCATCCTCACCATTCTCCAGAGACCGGTTTAGAATATGAGGTTCGGGGAACTCCATATCCTCCTTTTCGTTTAACAAATTAAGGCTGTGGACTAGCCTCTGAGAGGCTAGTCACTTGCCTCTGAGGCGCTACTACTAGCCTCTCAGAGGCTGTGGACTAGCCTCTCAGAAGCTAGTCACTTGCCTCTGAGGCGCTACTACTACCCTCTCAGAGGCTGTGGACTAGCCTCTCAGAGGCTAGTCCACAGCCTCTGAGGCGCTACTACTACCCTCTCAGAGGCTGTGGACTAGCCTCTCAGAGGCTAGTCACTTGCCTCTGAGAGGGTAGTAGTAGCCTCTCAGAGGCTGTGGACTAGCCTCTGAGAGGCTAGTCACTTGCCTCTGAGGCGCTACTACTACCCTCTCAGAGGCTGTGGACTAGCCTCTGAGAGGCTAGTCACTTGCCTCTGAGGCGATACTACTACCCTCTCAGAGGCTGTGGACTAGCCTCTGAGAGGCTAGTCACTTGCCTCTGAGAGGGTAGTAGTAGCCTCTCAGAGGCTGTGGACTAGCCTCTGAGAGGCTAGTCACTTGCCTCTGAGGCGCTACTACTACCCTCTCAGAGGCTGTCGACTAGCCTCTGAGAGGCTAGCCACTTGCCTCTGAGGCGCTACTACTACCCTCTCAGAGGCTGTGGACTAGCCTTCAGAGGCTAGTCACTTGCCTCTGAGGCGCTACTACTACCCTCTCAGAGGCTGTGGACTAGCCTCTCAGAGACTAGTCCACAGCCTCTGAGGCGCTACTACTACCCTCTCAGAGGCTGTGGACTAGCCTCTGAGAGGCTAGTCACTTGCCTCTGAGGCGCTACTACTACCCTCTCAGAGGCTGTGGACTAGCCTCTCAGAGGCTACTTACGTACGCACCGATTTGCGCGCTTGTGGAATTGTCAATAAATCCGCTTGTTGATTTTGCGCGAAGAGTATAACTGTCGTATTATACCTGTACAGCTTCAAGATTACACATTTACAGATTTAAATTATAATTGTACCGGAGAAGTATGGAGAGAGAGATTCACTGAAGCATTACATTACAACTGTGCATAACATGATGAAATCTGAAGAAAACAACGACAATACATGTAGCTACATAAAGCAGTAACGATAAAGTGTAGAGGTAGAGATTAGAAAAATCTCTTAGCTAAGAATTAGATCCAATGAGATTACAAAGTACAATGTTATTTGAGAAGTTGAGTACAACACTTTAGTACATTGCTTAAATGATAATATTAATAAATTGAATAATCAAATAATTAATATATATCATTACACTTTTGAGGATTATGGCATTTCCTCTTTGCTAAAACTTTAGCACACGGCGGTTCAGAAGTAACTGCGATCTCTTAAGTCGTTATTGAAGCCTCTAAATGTAGTAAAAGAGGCAAATAACATAATGTGTCCGTTTTTATTTTAAATTTTTTGACCTATACCTCTATACAGTATACATTGTACATTGTACATATAATATACATTGCAAGGCTAATATAATGCTTTTCCGGTCCTAACAGTAACACTAACACTAACAATATAATCAACAACATTTAGATGATGTTAATTTTTGAAGCAAGCTCACCTCGGACAGATTTAAAATACTTATAATTTAGATTTCAGGACTTCTTTGACAAAGTGTCTGCTGATATATTAGCGACGAGAGAAACGCCATATTGTTAGGCGGCACAAAACACGGTACTTACTATGCTGAATCTCGGATAAGGGTTGAGAACCTTCTCCAGAGACCGGTTTAGAATATGAGGTTCGGGGAACTCCATATCCTCCTTTTCGTTTAACAAGTTAAGAACCAGATAAGAAACAAGATAAAAATCAGGCAAGAAACCAGAACGATCTAGTTAAAACCCCGGTAAGCAACCAACACGGAACTGATGTAGTCATTATGTGACAAGAAGGGAATTTGGTAAGCTAGCTAGGCACATTTGGGGCACATTTGGGGCACACTGTTTTATTGGCCCTTTGGAATTTGGAGCCCGCGTAGAATGCTGCATATTCATGGGCCTTTTGGTCACCAGGAATTTGGAGCCCGCGTAGACATATTAGTGAATATTCATGGGCAGTTTGGTCACCAGGTTGTATGCGAGCAGTTTAGTTTCCTTTCAGAGGAAAATAATGGTGCAGGGCAACGTGGTACCATTACTTTATTTGTGACATTTATCTTTAAAGTTTAAACTCTAAAATGCTGGGGTATGTGTATTAGACCCTTAATACGAATGAAAAGAAGGTACACCCTTGATCAGTATAAAGGTTTTAATCGCAGACTCAGCTAACCTCGGTTGAGGAAACAATAAGAATTCTTCACTCCCTAAGAAGAATTAGGAGAGGCCAGCCCTGAGTATGCCACACGACATGCTAACTGCTCAGCTACCGCGGTGATGAGTCCTGCCATGGGATATTCAGATAGTACAGAACAAAGGGCATTACAGGGTAGAACTTGGATTACTTAGATAGAAGAGGGAAACAAGTGGGATCTTGTTGAACAGGGACTTAGCCTTTGTTAAATTTGTGAAAATTAGGTACAGAGTCCTGTTGGTGTATTGTCCATTTTGCTCATACTATTTAAAAGTCGGCATTTATAATTTTGGTTAGACAACAGATAATTCGAATGATGGAGTAGTTCGCTGTTTATTAGTCTTATGATTGAAATACTGATAGTTGGATAATATCCGTTTGGAAGAGACAAAGACAAATGAAACAGGAAGTTAGAAATGCAAATAATTTGAGCCTGAAGATGGCGTTGACGCCGAAAATTTGCCTACATTCCTAACTTCCTGTTTCATTTGTCCTTGTCTCTTCCAACCGGATATTATCCAACTATCAACAGATAATTCGTCGTAACACTGTTCTCAGATTATCAGGCCATTAAATGTGACGAAAGGATTTACGCCACTTTAGCAGAAGATCTATGGACTGCCCTATCGGTAGGCGGAATATTGAATTGATTTTAATTTAAAAGTGTACGACCCCTAATAAACGTAGATGCAGGGGCCGCATGCACTCTCGGTCTGTGCAATTCTCTAAATAGTTGTACACAGAAGTTCAGAGAAACGCCATATTGTTAGTCGGCACAAAACACGGTACTTACTATGCTGAATCTCGGATAAGGGTTGAGAACCTTCTCCATCCTCACCATTCTCCAGAGACCGGTTTAGAATATGAGGTTCGGGGAACTCCATATCCTCCTTTTCCTTTAACAAGTTAAGAACCAGATAAGAAACAAGATAAAAATCAGGCAAGAAACCAGAATGATCTAGTTAAAACCCCGGTAAGCAACCAACACGGAACTGATGTAGTAATTATGAGACATGGAAACATGTGGACAGACAGATTGGAACAGTTGTTGAGGCTCTATAAACTGTAAGCGTGGGATATAGTGTTATATAGTGTTATTATTACATGGGATATACCGTTATTATTACATGGGATGAAGTGTAATATTAGTAATTAGCGTGGTACAAACTGAGCGGTTATAGATGTTCATGTATGTAAGCTGGTATAGCTGTGAACAACAAATAACAGTGACATTACGGAAGTAACAGAGCGCACTTCCGCCAGCTTGTTATCGAACGGACTAAACTGAGAGTGGACAAAATTAAGACCTTAATTATGAGCAGAGGAATAAAAATTAAGAGCCGACAATAAATGGGCCGATAAGGTAGAACACAAAAGAATATAGTATTGGATCCATCCCTAGCAAGAGTATTTATACTCTTATAAGCCAATGATAGTGATTAGAATTTCGCGGTTCTCCTTTAACGACCTCTTTACGTTCAAATTCTCGACGTGACAACGTGAAAATGTGAGTGGGAATCAATTGTTCGTCATTGTGAAGACAGATATATACAACAGATAATAAAGTAAAAGTTTAATTTGAACCGTCTTACATCGAATTTAACAACGTTAATTTTATAACTAAATTATATTATACGATGCATAACGATATTGATTTCAATTTAAAATGATCTAATTACTGCAGATATGAGTGAAAACGATCATTTGAAATCAAATCACGAAATAAATGTAAATTCAAAGAGAAATTGCCAATCAATCACTGCTAATATTTTCCGTTCCGGATATGACAATTACGTTTTCTCAACATCACTTAAAACCACGATTGTCACTACATCTCGCTGAGTGAACTGTTGACTGTTCTACTTTGCTTTTGTTTTGATTTTCTTGCTGGTGAGCTTTGTTGTTTGTGGGCTTATGTTGAAATTCTTTTGATAAATTAATCTATCAAACATACAACATTTTAAAATCAATGAATCAGTTATTACGATCATGCCTCAACTCAAATTGATCCTTAGTCGGCACAAGTGTGCTTGTAATGACGCGCATTCTAGATTGCGGTAGAATCATACGACATACATAGTCTCAAACAGACTCAGCCTACTTGTATTACTCTTAATAACGCTAATCAGAAAACCGCTCTAACTCTGGGTTTCGCTTACGGTTCAATCTCTTATAAAATAACATCAGATTACCATCTTGGGTGGCAGCCAGATCATGATATGAACTTTCCTAGACACGATCCATCGATTTAAAAAAACACCGCACAGTGTTCTGGTGGATTCATATCCCTTTTTGCCACTACATTCGTTTGCACCGCACTACCCTAATTCTTTGTTTTCTCTTTTTTAAAGCGGTCGAAGTACCACCACCTGTCATATCTTATCTCAGAATCACTCCTGTTATTTGATTAAGTTTATTGATATTTATAATGAGCAGTCCTGTGTCGCTCCCTATAACTTAAACCCAGATAAGAGGGTCGCTGCGGTGTTAGGTTTCAAAACACCGTATATCCTCCGTCTAGAGCATTGATCTGTCTAACCCCTCCAACTCAGCTTCATTGTTAATTTGGCATCAGTCCTTCATTTGCCCTAGTGAACTTGACAGTGATTCCTATCCAGCAGTGGTTTGAACGATGCATTACAATTTGCTGTTACTGATCTTATCTGCGTTCAAGCTCGCCGAGTAAGTTTACAGTTGAATAAACAGTTTCTAATTACAATGATCTTCGATTCTGACCATCGGTTAGAGAGATTAGTTTTGAATGGAAATTAACAATTATTAAAAGAAGATTATTTTATTGAAGGAACTTGGTTGTCTCATTAATTAATTATGATCTTCTCGATCAGATTTGGTAGAGTCTCTACAATCCAATATTAAATTGCCGTAATTTCAGGGGAGGTTTGTTCGACAGTACGACCAGAAACACTCTTGAGGGTATTGCCTTTCCGTACTCAAACCAGCAGTTTGTGATGGGCAATGGAACTGAATATATGTACGTAAACTATAGTTGAACCTTTACTTAAAATTACAACTTACTTAAAGTTATAACTAACTTCATATCTTGTTTAGATTATATGATGGATGATCTTTAAAAAAAATCTTTGTTATAATCTTGGTCCGTTTCTTGTCTATTTGTCTAGAAGCCCTGCCATATCCAGCTAAACCCATTTCTACTACAGGGGCAGACAAGCAAGTGAATGTTACGGAGAAGCAGCAGACACAGTGGTGTCAGCAATTCCTCAAACTAACAATTTCCTTGATCTGGTCAACTTCATGGAGTTTATCCAACAAACTAAGGTATGTATTAGTGCTGCACCAAGGATTGTCTCTAAATTGACTGTCGATTATTTTTGTCGGTCAAAATAATATAGATATTAGATAAGCCTCCCGTACCTTGCGCGTCCTGGTTTCCTGTTTTATGTCAACTACAATATCGGTGTAGTTTACCAAATAGTCTCATATCAACACTATCAACAATCAACACTCAACTACATGGTCTCATATCAACACCAATCTCTTTGCACCCAGGCTGGAGCAGCACAGAAAGGTGATGCAGGGAACTTCTACCAAGTAGCAAAAGCTGCGATGGTGAGTGGCAATACTTTTGTGGCACAGGAGAACATGGCAAGAGCCCTGGGGGCCATAGAGAGTTACAATAAACGTAGAAAGAGGAGTGATGATGAGGGTAAGTACTGAGTGTGTCCTAGATTACATATTGTTGTTAGCTGTCAAGATATGGAAGATTTAACTGTCCTTATAGATGACAACCCTGTCTTGCACATCAATATCTAGGTCAACGTATAAAGTAAGTAAGTTATTAAATAAGTAAGTAAGTTATTGAATAAGTAAGTAAGTTATTAAATAAGTACTGAACTGATAAGTTTTGAAGCTATGTAACGGTTTGAGTTGCAGGTTCGTGGAGTGCCCAAGATTTATTCGATGAGTTCAGGAACTCGGTTGGCGAGGAAAAGTTCAAAGATGTTCTTCATCTCAATAAAAAGGTTTGGGAAATACCAGGTTATACAAATGTTATATTTTCATTGGATCTTTAAAAAACATCGATTATAGATCCCTGACGTAAATTCAAACCCGGAGACATTTTCGGTTTAAAAATCGCTACTTGTGCTTTACAGAATAAACTATAAAGACTGATCTAATCTCAAAATACCAGGTGACAATGGCGTTTGTAATTGACACCAGCAGTAGCATGAAGGATGATATGAAGAACGTGAGAGCGTACATCCAGCAGCTAATATTAGAGCAGCAGAAGGCTGGCGTTGAAGCTGAGTTTATCGTTACTACATTCGCTGATAATCCCGGTTTGTGATCCAACTTTATTTATTATTAACCATGTGGACCTCTCCGAATTTGTACGTTTTATGCTGTGTTGTAACTTCAATATCGATCGTGCACTGATGTAGTGTATGCGAAGAGATGCTGATAACAGCAACGATTTCAGCTGCAAATGGCCCAAAGGTACTGAAAACAGGCAAACAAGTGATGAACCACATCAGTAACCTTACTCCCAGATTCGGAGGTGAAAGTGAAAGCATTGTTAAAGTGAAAGTGAAAGCATTTTGAAAGTGGAAGCATGGTGATGTTAATATTGGTATTTGATTTTAACAGCACTTTTATTGTGTTTTGCAGCAACTATCCGAACGTTCAAGACATCGCACGATATTATGAGATACATTCAGAACTTGACACCAAGCGTCGGGGGTTTGTAACTTATATAAATTATTAAATTATTAGCGTAATGGATTTTAAACGGTACTAAATGAGTGAATAGACTCTAAATCAACACATCTATCAATTCACGTAGTAGAAAGCATCATTATGCATATAGTGCAGTTTCTAAATATGCAGCTTTAGATGTCAATATGTAGCTTCTTATTTCGCCTTTCTCTCTTCCACACTCAACCACCACTTAAGCGTTCATCTATGACACACCCACAACACTTACCATCATCCTTGATTACACATCTTGATTCCACTGGCATCCTCCCACAGGACTGCCATACCCCAGAGGTAGGCAAAGCATTCATATGCTATCCTCTCGTGGGCCAACCAGGCCCAGCCTCTCTTTTAAATAAAATGTAGCTTCAATAAACAAGCTTCAATAAACAAGCATTTTAGATGAAAGAAATGTATTTGAATGAAAATATTTTCATTTAGACTATCGAAAATTATTCGATCCCCAAAACACTACTACAAACACTACTACAAACTCTATTCACCAGGCGACTGTGAAGAAAGAACATGTTATGGTATATTGTCAACTCTTTATAGAAGCACCTTTATGAGGGTCTGTATCAATTTTACCTTAAATTAAAAACGAATTGAAGTCAACTTAAAATCTGTTTAATTTTATGGCTACCTAATCATGTACCAGGTGCCTAAAATTATGATGCATGTCCATGGTCCATACGAAACAAATCGCTTTATATAAACATGACCTGAGACCTTACAATCACATTGGACAATAAACATGACCTTATTTGGACATATGTCTTTTATAGATTATTTTCAGGTCCGAAACTCAGTCATGTACGTGTTCACAGACGCTACTAGCAAGGATTGCTTCAGGTCTGCCTCCTCTATCATGAGAAGTCTTGCTTTCTTGGTAAGGAAAGGAAATTTACCATTAATTTATTATCATACTCATCCTGATTTTCAAAACTTTTTGACTTAGTGAGATGATTTCATCATTCGGTGAGATTTGATGAGAATTTAATAAAATGTAAAATTTTTCACAATTTAAAGGTCGAGCATCTTTCTAACTTAAAGAAAAAAGCAAAAATGTCGGTCGATAAAACGAGTAAAATTCTAACAAACAACACAATTTCAGAAAGCACCTGTGTTTTTCATTCTGTTCGACAGCTGTAAGCCAACTATTGACAGCAACTACGTGAAAATGGCGCACAACACAGGTAATAACTATGTTGCCTCATTAGTTATTACATCGTTAGGTGCAACAAAATATTCACAATCCCAAACTTAACGCGATAACGCGTTTCTGATTCTTTTGAGTTTATGACTAACGAAGAGCTTACTATATTGAACCTGGTCGTCTCTTCTCTGCGACGATTATGATCAGCTCATTGATCTTCATTTTATGGATTATTAGATTATTTGTATACCTGGCCCTGTTTGTCCTTTTCTTTAATCTTTTGAATTAGCCTTTTAAAATGAGAAATGAATTAAATATCACCAAAACTTTTTTGAAAGCTGCTTCTGGGTTATTAGGCTATAAGGTTACTAATTTGGTAACCTATAACAGGTGGTTTCTGTTTGTTACTGAAGGAGAATGGGGTGTACAATGTTACTGACACTGTAAACTATTAGGCTATAAGGTTACTAATTTGGTAACACCAACAGGTTACTAATTTGGTAACACCAACAGGTGGTTTCTGCTTGTTAGTTACTAATTTGGTAACACCAACAGGTGGTTTCTGTTTGTTACTGAAGGAGAATGGGGTGTACAATGTAACTGACACTGTAAACTATTAGGCTGTAAGGTTACTAATTTGGTAACCTATAACAGGTGGTTTCTGTTTGTTACTGAAGGAGAATGGGGTGTACAATGTAACTGACACTGTAAACTATTAGGCTGTAAGGTTACTAATTTGGTAACACCAACAGGTGGTTTCTGCTTGTTGCTGAAGGAGAATGGGGTGTACAATGTAACTGACACTGTAAACGGTGCTTTTGATAAAGACGCTCTGATTTGTGGAGAAGAGAGTGACAATGCTTTGTCGGTTGTTGGACAGGGTGCTATTGATAATTCCAGGTTTTTTACTAATTACGATAATTATCTTATTAAGATAACAGATGGCTGATAATCGCTGCTCAGATACCATCTGTAATATGGCTATTATTGGCTACTTTAGCGTGTGATAAGCTGGTTAGCAGCCTGATTATAGTTCTATTTGATGCTAAATATTATTACCATTATCCTTGATCACAGGAAGAAGAGAAGTGCTGCGGAGGACGGAGAGGTTTCTGAAAAACTTGAGAAGTCACTTCTAGTGGATACAAGCATGGAGAAATTCAAAGTGATAGCTACCATTACACCAGCTTCTCTCCTAAATAAGGTAAGCAATCATAACAGAATTTTATGATTTATCAGTACTGATTGACAACGTTTATCACTGATATTATCAAAATGGTGCGGATATCCTCCAAGGAATTAAAAACTTTCTTAGCTAAATCCCGATTTTTATGTAGACCCTTCTCTTATACTCTGGCCTAATCTACACCCCTTTACCACTAGGTTTCATTAGAGAAGCCAGCAGACGGAGACTCAGCCAGATGTGGCAATCTCAGATCGGGAGAACCAAACATCAAGATAGCAGAGTCAGTTGCTGATAACACTGTTATCTTTGATGTGACAGCGGAGAGTTGTCCTTGTACTGGGGAGTGGAAAGTCAAATACCCGGTCAGTTTTCACTTTTTAACACTCTTTAACACTTTTTGACACTATTTAACAATCTTTAACACCCTTTAACACTCTTTAACACTCTTTAAATACTGCTACAGATGATGTTGGTCCGCATGGAGGGGTCATGATATTTCGGCTGATTATTTAGATGCTACCGACTATTATTAGTAAACGTTATTCTGTTGATCATGAAAATCGGATTAATTCATTGCTCATCCCTTGCTTCTTTAAGTTTAATTAATTTTAAAGATCATATCACCCCTTTCAACAGTTACTCTCACTCTAAGGAAGAAGCGAGTTCGTTTACCTACTCAGTCAAGAGTTCAGGAGAATATCTGGTTGCTTTTGAAGCTTACTTTGTAGATGAGACCGGTCCTAATAGAATCGCAAACTACGCTCCTTGTTTAGGTTAGCCTTAACACCATGGTAACCTGGTAACCTGGTAACTCTGTAACCTGGTAACAGGGTATTAACCTCGTATCCAGGCAGCCTATCAACTTCAAACCTGTCAACTTAGTAACCTGGTTAGCTCGTAATATAAACTAGCAAACTAAGTTACTAGTATATGTTTTAGTAGTATATGTTATTAGTATGATGTCTTCATTTTAAAATAGATTTTATGAAGTTTTATGATGACAAATGTCGCTTTAATCGATCTTTAGTGCTTGCTGTTTAGAGGGAATGAATCCACCAAAATGACATGATGTAATTCAGAGTAAACCATATCGTTACTCCAGGAATTGTTAATTTTAGGAATTGAAGAAAATCTTGTCATAAAGCTGAACCAAGGAGAGAAAGTAAATACAAACACTCTTTACGCCAAAGTAAGTACTTCATCTTGCCAAGTTTGATTAACAATAAAAACTCAGTCTTTTAAAGCTAAGATTAATTAAAGTTGTCTACAAGCACAAAAAGGTAAAATATCGCTCAACAGCTATCAATAAACAAGGAAAAGAACTCTTTTTAACGCATTAAATAAACTAACTTCTACTTGACCTCAGCTTGTTGGTGTAGCAGGTAACGTTGTTCACTGGCGAGGAGCTCTTGCAACAGACAAGCAGGCTGACAATGCGTTTGTAGTGACACTCACTATTCCACCTGACATGGGTTAGTGAGGTAGCTTGGCTATCTGCCAATTCCTCAATCGTGTCTTGTGCTAGACTGGAATACTCCCAAGAAAAAACGAACATATCAATTTTTAATTTGTCATGCTCCTGACTCAGTTAAGTAGTTTTGTTTTAATTAAAAAAGTTAATTACAAATTTGGTTTCATGACCATATTAAGTAATGTAAAACAACTATTTTACAGGAACAGAAGGTTTCAGGATTGTTCTAGGAGGAGAGATAGTGGATGGAACTAAGTTCCAGCGAGTGTCTCCCAACTATTTCCACCCTACCAGTTCCTGCCTTAGAATTACTGATGTTGGCAACTTCTACGCCCTCTCTCCAAACAGAAAGTAGGTTTCTATTTGGAGGCTACACACATCTGTGGTTCATTGAAAGCAAGTCTTCTATCTTTCTATGAAAGAATTTTATTGGTACTTTCAGTGAGAGACTTTCAAGTTCCAAAAATCAATAGTTCCCACAGTCAGACAACGAATGAGTTAAAAAGTTCCAACAAAATCTTTATAACATTCTTGGTAAAATATTTTCGGACATCTTTAGTACCTAATAAAGATAAGGGTTAATACTCCAATTACATCAAAAAATTATATTTAAAAACTAAAGGATATTAGGTAAAGGAAATTAAAATTCAAACTCTCAAAAATTAAACTTTCAAGTTCCACTGCATTTATCGGCCCAAAAATACCCAACTACTCTGCCAGGACGTATATAAAAGTGCAGGTGACAAACAATAACGCATACGAGGAGTTGTATCTTCTCAGCTGCTCCAATACAGAGAACTATGACGTCACTATAGGGTTCCCTCTTATCACATCTCCTGACAAGAAAGACAAACGTGCCCGCAGCAACCCTGGTGAGTGCACAGACTGTTTTGTTTATTGCATCGTTAACCAGGCCGCAATTTCAAATTCTCACCATATTATATTGAATGAGTATTCAACTTGAATTTTAAGTCAACCTCGAAAGATATTATTATCTAACCATTTCAATCTCTTCTCAGTTGTGTTGAAGTCAAAGCAGACGGCTGAATTTACCGTGAACGTAGCTGCTCCGAGAAACACTAAAGAGGGAAGGATAGTCTCAGTGACGTGTAAAGTGACCGGTAAGTTACAATAGTAACCAATAGTAACCAATAGTAACCAATAGTAACCAATAGTAACCAATAGTAACCAATAGTAAGTTATTTACACTGGCCCTTCTTAATTCTTCTACGCCAGGAAACTTTGCGCAAGAAGGTTTCCTGGCTTCAGCCACTCACAGTCACTTACAGCTGATCTTTCATTAATATGCAGAATGCTTGTTAATTATCATTGAAAACGTATGAATTAATGCGAATGTTTATTGTACATTGTACACATTGATTGTACACATTGTACATTGTACATTGTCAATATCTGTATATTGTTCGACCAAATTATTCAAGGAAAGTTCGGTACATTGTACATTGTACATTGTACATTGTACATTGTACATTGTACATTGTACATTGTACATTGTACATTGTACATTGTACATTGTACATTGTACATTGTACACATTGCTTCAGCGTCAGCAGATGAGTTGATAGACATGGTGAGATTGACAGAGATACCGGAACGATTTGGCAAATTGAGCGGATGAAAAAACTTTATTCTCCAACGGTCAATATCTGTATATTGTTCGACCAAATTATTCAAGGAAAGTTCGGTTATTGATAAAATGAACAATAAACTGTTGTATGTTGTTAATTTTATTTCTATTCTTATTTTAGTGATATTTTAGAGATAGTAATAAATTTTTCCGAAAACATGCATCTATTTCATTTTCTTTTCTTAAGGATAAGAATACGGCTTTGAAACTTGTAAAAAGAAATGTTGTTTTATTTTTTAAACAATAAAGTCCCTCATAGGAGTAAAATTTGACTTCCGATATCAATTCTCAAAAGATTTCATTAGCTCCCTAATCCCGGGGTCAGATCACGTTACTAATTAATGTCACGATTAATTAGTGATGTGATTCATGGATTGAATATTATTGACCTAGAAATGGGCTAAATCTGGGGTAGAGTTCGCATGACAAGTACTACATAGAACTAGAAGCTATAAATTAAGAAGTGAACATGATCTCTCTGCTCGATTCATAGATCACATAAGGGACGGGAACCTTGCTAAAGGTTCTCGTATCAAGGGATGTGAGACGTACGTGCCAAAAGCATGCAAGGGGAGTGAGCCGATCAAGTGTTTTAGGTATAAATATTGGGTGATAGAAGGTAGTGGTATCGCATTCTATCAACAGTCATGCCTACCTTCTCCAAGTTCCTCAATGGTTTCAGAGGATGTCAACAGGTGCTTGATTCTGACGGATATATCTACAGCAGGAAGAAATATGATGACACCGTCCTCTCCTCTGCTTGGCGTTGCCAGAAGAACAAATCCCTTAAATGTCCCTGCCACTGCTACCTCGCTCTCACAGACAACACCCTTTCCCTTGGAAGTAAACCACACAACCACGATTCGGATTTGGCTACCCCACAGAGACTCGAACTCTAACAACGCTCAAGAGGAAGGCTGCTGAACAACCCATGTCGGCAACTCGGAACCTGATCGCAGAAGTCCTTGCAGATGCTTCAACAGAAGTAAATCAAACGCTACCAAATATGGAATCCCTTGGAAAAGTCGTCCAACGAGCCAGAGCTTCTGCCCGACACACCAATTTGAAGTCCTCTCTTAAATTCGTTCAAGGGAAACGACGAAAATTGCAGCCAAAGTCCAAACAGAAGATTAAGGATGACTTTAACAAGAACCTACTCGAAGAGTTTCAGATCTTTTCGAAGGAACAGCAGTATGCCAGAAAAATGACAGCTTCGTTGATATAGGAAATATTTAACTTATTATGATTTATTTTATGTATGTATTTTGAAAAAGTTCGCTGAGTTTACCGCAAAATGTATCAAATTGAAACATCTTGAATTAAATGAGAAAATGTTCTTTGTACTGCAATTTAATATACGTTGTAATATCAAATAGCGATAAATGAAATTGCTTTAAACCTCGCGATTTAATTTCGTTTTACTAAAAGGAATTGTGAGTTTAAGAACTGATTAAAACATTGAATTAAGGAGAAATCGTAATAATTGATCAGCATGAAGATTCGATATATTAGCAGCCATAAATTCAGCTAATATCAAAGTCAATGCAAGATAACTAAAATGTAGTCCTAAACTTCAATGAGCCGGCAACTCTAAATGCCAAGGTATCAAGGTATTGGTAAGAGATAGCTTCGGTTATTTTCCATTCGGGCTCCAGCCTTCAAGGTCCGACCTTTTGAGGGGCATTGGGACATGATACTCTACGAAATGATATCATCAGGAGTGAAAATATGTGGCACTAGGTTTTGACTTCTAGGGTACGACATTTTAGGGATGGACGACAGTAATATAACCTAAATAGCTTGCAGATGTACATTATCATCCAATATTTTATAACTTAAATACAAATCAGTCTTCCATCTCTCATAATTAAAATTACCAAAACCACCAGTACAAGTAGACCAAATAAAAGGGCTTGCGTGACATCAAGGAAACCGCTCTTTTATAAAATAATTTGGAGAATCCCTCTTTCAGAGCCTCCAGAAAACTTCTCTATCATACAGAGCTTCAAGAAAATCCATCTCTATTCTGAACCATGAGTTCCACATTCTCCGTAACATTCTCAATGTCCACGAACTCCTCGTACCTAACTTTGTTATCCTCCGGCGCCAGCTCCCTTATCTCACTCTTTCTCTTCAACATGATCCCCACCAACACAAGCCCCATTATAATCACAGCCAGTATTGGAGATATTATGAGAAACACCTCCGCTGGTTGCAGTGTCCTGTCAGAGCTACCCTCACCTTGATCCATAGTGTTGCTCTGGGGAGTGTCCTCAACGTTGAGCCGCGTCATCTGGTCAAGTTGAGGGGTTGAAGTGTTGGTTAGGGCGAGGATGGAGTTTTGTGCTGATGCTAGGGAGGAGGTGAGGGTTCCGAGAATTAGTGGAGCGAGGAGTCGTCTCTTTTTCATATTCCTGTGTTATTGGAGGATCAGTTACATTTAGAAAGTTTGTGCTTAGTGTTTGCTAATTTTCGATTACAAACTTTACCTACTTTATTTGCCTTTTAAAGTTATTTGCCTTTACTGCTAGTAACTAGGGCAGTGCACGAATTTGGCCGCTCAACATTTGGTTCGACCAAAAAAGGCCCTTGTTATACAGCTATATTAATTAAACTGTATATACGTAAATATAGTTAACATTTCGCTTCCGAATGGGGACAACGATTAAATTTCATTAACTGCAATTAAAAGTAAAAGTAATAAGCAAAAACAATCGTAACAGCAATATAAACTACACGCAACGAAATCAAGAATTTGTGACGAAATTATACTACATAACCATGATTATATCACCGAAGTAAACCTCTAATGGATGTGAACTAAACGACAATATCGATACCACCTTAATAATCCAACCTGTGAACCAATGTGTTGAGCACCATGATTTAAATTAAGATTGCTCTTAGAGTAATCATTTAAATACATTGGCTACACCTCTTGCGGGTTGGATTAAATGTCCTCTCGAATTTCTAAAGTCCGAAAACCGAGTCATAAACAAGAATTAGAAAGCGAAACCTAATACTTCAACAAAACAACATATATTTTTCATGTGGGAAGGTAGCTTCAAATCGATGACAGCGCTGTTTAGATTTCTTGTACTCGTATGCCTCTTCGCTCTAACCACGTAATATTTTATGGTAATGATCGAAGGAATAGTAATACCGATAAAATAACATTTATGTTTCTCTAAGAAATTCAAACAATTCGACGGAATGATCATTAAACAATAAACATGGTCCCCTCGCCGTAGTGAGGCAATTTAACCGTAAAATATACCGATATTTTGAATTCGCACGAAATTTCTAAAATGCATCCAGCCATGGAGTTACATGAAAATAGAACTTTAGAGCATTAAGCGATTGCATTTACGGTACTCCTTCATAAATAAAAGCAATTTTGGTTATATTTGTGGCCATTACCATCCATCATCTGGATGCACGTGGATTGCAAATGCACGGCTATTAGTATATATTTCAACAATGTTGACTTCAGACTGAATGTTAACTTTAAGTGCTCCAGTTAGTTAGAAAATGGAATTTGAAGACAGACGAAGTAAAGGATCGAAAGAATCATTTCGAAATTTGAACTGCTGTACTGAGATGATTTTGAGCGCGATGATTTTACAATTTAAATCGCTCTAACAAATTAGTAAAATTCAAACTGTTAAATCAAATTGTCGCACAGCTGCAATTTTGAAAACATTAAACTGATAATATATAACTGATAGTGTCCAAGAATATAATAGCGATATCCCACAAATAGGCGGATATTATAAGAAAAGTAAAATAAAAGAGAAAAAAAGGTTAAACTAGTACAGAGTAGCATATTATGTTATTGTGAGAAAAGGTAGAAGTTATAAAAGGTAGAGCTAGTACAGAGTAGTATATGTTAGAGAAAAAAAGGTAAAGCTGTACAGTAAAATTAAGTTAGAGAAGAAAAGGTAGAGGTAGTACAGAGCAGTACAGTATAGTAAAGTTAGAGAAGAAAAGGTAAAGCTGTACAGTAAAATTAAGTTAGAGAAGAAAAGGTAGAGGTAGTACAGAGCAGTACAGTATAGTTAAGTTAGAGAAGAAAAGGTAGAGGTTATAGTACAGTATAGTTAAGTTAGAGAAGAAAAGGTAGAGGTAGCACAGAGCAGTAGATGTTAAAGAAAAGGAAGCGCCGCCACACTTGTTAGTCGAGTAAAATTGCCCAGTACCTACATTGTCCAACTGTCCGGGACACTCCAAGTGTGTGACTCATGAGCTGGTAGAGGGAATATTGCACCCAAATTATGTATACAATACGTATTATAAAGGAGCAGGGAGAGCTGGTCAGCTCGTTAGAGGTTGTGAGATGAGTTATATTATAAAGGAGCAACAATATAGAGCGGTGTTCTTGACTCTTGAGGTGTGATGAGTAAAGTCATTGTGCAGATTATTGTTATAAAGTGGACTCCTGTCCAGGATTACAACTTACAAGGTAACAAAAGGAATAAATATAAATATAATCCCAACAGCTTAAATAGCAGAACAACCAATTGTTGTTCCTAGCGTGAGTTTGAAATATATCTGCAGGTTAAGTGCAGGCATAAATTAGGTGTTGAATAGATATTCAATTTGAGAAGTGAACCCAAACGAGGGGCCGCTATGATAATTAATTACAAACACTATAAATTACAGGACGGCTTTACAGTGGAAACGGGAAACTGTAATGTTACGAATACAATGTCACATAGTAAAAGTAACTTACTAGATAAGGGATCGAGGACTGTAGCCCGTGCCCCGTACAGAATACAACTATATGATAAGGATACCATACAATATAGTTTGTGAGGATGCCCGCATATATTTGCTATTTATAACCTGTCTTGTCAGTTTATGTTATATTGAATAAGAATAGCCAGAAAAGTTTCTTCAACCAAGATGCACTCAAAATTCTCAATATGTAGTAGGCTGCCGGACAACTAAGAACCTGTCAATTTTACCTAGTTAACTAATTAACATGCTAGCTTGGGAAATCCAATCAGCTCCGACAACTAAGAACCAATCAATCAATATCCCCGACAACTAAGAACCTCTGGAGATACTTAAAACATTCAGGTGTCCAACGATTTCACAGCTGTGCTGTGTATAAGTTGATTAAATTTCTATTATTTCATTGTGTATTGATGCCGGGATGTACATATATTTATCAGTTGAGGCTTCTCTGTTGATATTTGGCTCCCCATGTTTTCTCCGATCAGTGATTCACTACATGTAAAGTCAATTCTTTTGAAATTCATCCTATATTTTCTAAATTCCAAGCAAGACTCATCGATGTGTTTCATAATTGAATCGGTAACAAGCCAAACGTTCATGGTCTGAGCACTTTCGACCATGACTTTGAGGGAGGGGTGATCAACTCTCGTACTTGTGATTGTATGCCTCCTATCACCCCCCCCCCCCCCCTTACATGCCGTCCGCACACGCGACTCACGTCCTTGGATACGAGAACCAGCCCCTTACGTCATGATTTTAAAGGAAATGATGAGCTTCAGCTATCATTTAGTCGGATCCCAACCGTTCTAAAAGGCCATCTCGTTAGCTTTTCGTGTTAAAAGCGATTTCTCAACGGTTATCACCTCTCTAGATGATTCTTACAAAATTTGGACTTCATTGCATTTTTGAAATAAATGCAATGAGGGCGTTTTCGGCCACACCCTTTTTCAGGGTTTCGCGTTCAATCGAATTTTTGTATTTCGGCCCAGGAAGGTCTTAAAGACTATTCTGATACACCAAAATGTGCCTAATAGCCACATTTATATACAACTTATGAAGCAACATATACCTTAAAATGCTTCGTTTCGGAAATGTGGCCGAAAAACTGTTTTTGGCTTGACGCAGTTCATAATTTCCGTGATTTTTGGCATTTCCGCCTAGGAAGGTCGTAGAGACTATTCTGATACACTAAAACGTACATAATGGCCACATTTATATACAACTTATGAAGCAACATATACCCTAAAAGGCTTACTTTCGGAAATGTAGCTGAAAAACGGATTTTTGCCGAACGAACAATGACAGTATTCACAAATGAGCTATTGGACTGTTAACTAGAAAGGTCTTAAAGACTCATGAGCAACATAGCATTTGTCGCAAGATGTAAGATGACCAGGGCCAGCAGCATGTCTTACGAAAGGGCAATTTTTCAAATTTTTTTGTAAGATGACTTACTTTGTGTCCAGAAACACCTACAAAAATTGGAGAATGATCTACTTTATTGGGCACCCTCTTAATGGGCCAGGACAGCAGCATATTTGTGTCTTACGGAAGAGCAATTTTTTAAAATTACGGTTTCTTAAGGTCAAAGGATCGGCTGCTAACAGCAAACTGTTCGCAATTGCCGACTCATGCACATCATATACTCAAAAACGCTCACTTTAGGAGTCATTAGTAAATAACTACTACATGATTTGTGACAACTCCAACAATTTCTCCTTGGCACCAATTTAA